GGCGGTTGCTCCACGAACACCTGCTGCCTCAGTCAGTGGGGATATAGCTGGTGGCCTGGCCTGTGCCCTCTAACCTGCTCCCCGCCACACCCAGGTAGTGAACTTGACCCTCCAGCTCTCCGTGTCCAAGGTGAGGCTGCAGGCGACCACGTCTGTCCTGGGGTAAGCAGAGCCTCCTGGGCCCAGCAGCCTCAGCGTGTCCTTTCGTGCAATGGGCCCTAATCACCCTCACTCGTGGTGTCAGCCAGGGAAGCAGTGGGCTGTGTGGGGTGGGAGGCTTCCGGCCATGTCCTGAGGCCCCTCTTCTCTTTCAGAGATGTCCAGCTCACCGTGGCCTCCTCCAACGTGGGCTTCATTGATGTGAGTGGGCCCGGCTCTCCGGAGACCCCTTCTGGGTGGGGCAGGTCTGACACTAGGGAGGGAGGGTGTACTTGTGTGTGGGTGCACCTGTGCACATGTGCCTGTATATGCCACCAGAATCAGGCTTCCCGGGGTGCTCGGGGACAGTCACCATTCAGCTTTCCGCCTGTCCGTCAGTCATAGGCTGTCTGCTGGTCAGTCAGCCCCCTGCCTGTCAGTTTGCCTGGTAGTAGGTGACTTGTCAGCCCAGCCCTCAGCCCAGGCCTCCATTGGTCATTTGGACTAGTCAGTGTCTGCCATTCCTTCGGTCACGTCACACGGTGGGGCCACCAGCCATCGTGCATCCAGCTGTCAGTCAGCCTATCAGTCGATATGCCCCAACCCTCTACCCAGCCATCGGACTGTCTGTCTGGGGGTTGCCTGGCACCAGGCAGTCTGGCAGTGGTCACACAGTGTGAACACCAGCAGTCAGGGCTTGCCTCGGTCTCCTCTTGGGCGGGCACTGTGTTCCCGCCCCGGGATGTAGCTGGGCTCCCGCTGAGCCAGGGTGGGGATGACTTGCCCTCCGCCCTTTGCCTGTGCTCCTGCCATCCATCTGTCTGTCTGTCTGTGTTTATGCCTGTGCCTAACTGTCCCTCTCTCCCGGACCTCTGCTGGGGTGGGCCCCATCTCCCTGGCTGTGGCTGCAGATAGATCAAGTGCACAAGCTCGTGGGCACCGTGTTTGAGAAGCCCCTGCTGGACCACCTCAATGGTGAGCTCTGCCCCTGCCCAGCCGACCTCACACCTGCCGGTGCTCAGTGCTGGGCCCTGCCTGCCTTCCAGGCGGAGGTTAAGAGGGTGGTATCTGGACTCCAGCTGCCCATGGGGTATCTTGGCACACGATCATTGGCAGCTGTGTGATCTTTGCTGCATTCCTGTCCCTCTGGGTCTCAGCTGTCCCTTCCGTAAAATGGGAATGATAACAACAGGGTCCTCCTGCTCGGTGAGGATTCAGTGCCATTGGCGCACAGGAAGACCTGGGTGTGGGGCTGCCTGTGTTGAGCCGTCGCCACTTCCGGCTGAACTTAGTTTCTCCTATCCCACCTGCAGCTCTCTTGGGCATAGGACTTGCTCTCCCCAACGTGGTCAACCTCTTCTACGCCAACCCAGAGGTCTTTGTCCATGAGGTGAGAGCCTTTGGGTATGACCTTGGAGGGAGGCTGTCTCAGAGAGGTGGGGCTCACCTCTCTCTCTCCCTCCCTGTTAGTAGAGACAGTGGGTCTCAGGGTCAGCCAGGCCTGGGGATGAGCCCTGCTCCTGCCAAGACCAAGCAATGAGATGGAAAATTCAGGACATCGGGAAACACTGGTAGGAGGGTTTCACCTGCCTAGTCCTCATGGAATGTCACACCAGGCCATCCTTGGGGACTCAGTCCTCCGACCATCCTGAGATCCTGTGCCCTGGGATGAGTGTGGCCCCTCTGGTATCTGAAGGCTAGTTGCCACTGTGCTGGGTGACGTGGCCCTCGACTGAGCTATGTACAGGCAGGGCCTGAGTCCCGCTTGCTCTCTTCTGCTCCCGCACCTGCCATGGGGCTCAGTTTGTAGTGGAGCTTCCGTGTGGATGTGTTGACTGGATGGATGAATGGTTAGCAGCCTTCCAGAAGGTCTCTGCAGTGCAGTATTGAGTAGGGACAACATGGGAGTGCCTGGCTCTGCCGGGAAGACTTGGACTTGAAGAAGATACTTGATGGTTCTGGACTCCGAGTCCTAAAACAGCAGCGGTATTGGGAGCAGCAGATGGTGTAATGGTTACGCTGCTGGACTCCCATGTAGTCGACCGTGGTCCGAGTCCTGGACCTGGCAGCTTAAAACTCACGCTGGGCGCAAGTGTATGTGTGCCTAAAATCCCAAAAGGAGACTAGGAGAAAGGATTGCTGCATGGCCATAGCCCTGCTGAGGGTTATGTTTTCTGTTTCTCCGTCTCTGTCTCCCTGGTGAGTGCAAAAATCTCTCTAAAAATATACCCCCCAAACAATAGTACTATGCTGGATGCTCTTCCTAAGGGGTCTCACCTCATCCTCAGAGCAGTCTTGCCAGCTCTCCACCACCATTGGCAGAGCAGGAAATGGGGGCCCAGCAGGTGAAGGACTCTCCTCAGGACACACAGCAAGGACGGTGGAGCATGAACTCAGAGCCAGACTGAGGGCGAGCTGGGGGCCTCCCTGTCACCATGTGGCCTCTGACCTGGCCCCGTGCTTCTTTGTGCTCTGCAGGGCTACGTCGTGATATCCAGCGGACTCTCCTACCAGCGCTGAGGCAGGTCCACTGGAAAGGCTGAGGATGGGCCAGTTTGCTGCTCAGGGGACCCTCTTACCCCAAACCACTAGAGAAACTGAGGCCAAGCCATGCTTAGTCATCATCAGCAAACCAGACTGCCCAACTGGGCTATTTCATCTTCACTGAGTGTCTGGGTTTCCCTCCCTCGCCTCCTCTCCTTCCCACCTCCCTCCTCTTCCATCCCTTCTTCCCTCACCTCCCTACTCTTCCCTCGCCCCTCCTCTCTCCTGATGGGGAGCAGGTTCCTCCTTCAGTACACACCTGTCCCCTCACTGCATTAAACGTCTGCTCTTAAGCTGCAACTTCAGTCAGGCCCAGCAAACTGTGTACCCGAGGCCAGTTCCCTGCGTGCAGTCTCTGGGTCCCGTCTGTACTTGGAGCAATCAAAGAGGAAGAAGATGTGACCTATCTCTGACCACAGCTGCTGACTATCACCTTCTGCCCAGGAAGCCCCTAATATACGTGTGCTATGTATAAATTCTTTATTTCTTCTGTGAGCAAGACAGAGAGAGAGAGAAAGAGACGGAGAGACAGACAGACAGAGGGACAGCTCCCACCGGAATTGTGATGCTGTGACCCATGCCCGGCCTCAGCTGGTCCTGGATCACGGGCAGCTGCGTGCCTGGCCGCTCAGGGAGGAGTTGTTTTACCACTGTGCCATCCAGGCCCTATGGAGCCCCTACTTTGAGAGAGGACCTTGAAGGTCAGCACGATGCTCTGGAAGTCTCGAACACCACTGCGAGCCCTGCCTGCAGCATGCCCATACCTTTGCCCCTCTGGTGTCATGCCCCCTGGTGCTCCTAGAACCCCACCCGAGCCCCGTGCATCAGGCAGGCAGGGTCTTCTGTCCCACTCTGTAGATGTGGAAACTGCGGCCCCTCAAGGAGAGGACTGTGCCCAGAGGCTCAGAGCTGGATGGTGGCAGGTCCTTCAGTCTGTGATCTCCCTGGAACCCAGGCTTGAGATGTCCCATCCCCTCTTCCATTCACCAGCTCCCCTGCCTGGACTGTGTCCCAAGTCACAGCTTTAGGGGATGAGGAGTTCACTGCCTTCCTGGGCAGCTTCTCCATCTTTGGTTTCCTCTGGTCCCGTGAAGTTTCCTGTTCTAAGGGGGCAGGGCCTGCTTGCTGGGCTTTGCCTCTCTGCTCTCATGGAACACATCTCAGTCCTTACCCCTAACGCTCGTCACACTAGAGGGTCACACCAGAGCAGACCAAGGGATGCAGACACCGGCCAGCCAAAGCCATGCCACCCCTCACTCCGGAGAAGCTCATCGTGTAGCCAGAGACAGGATTCCTTCCTGCTGGATATACAGGATTCAGGTTCTGTTTACATCCCTTTTGGGGTGTAAAATGTGCCACAACTTCATCAGTAAGCGAAGCCTTTGGTACAGTGCGGTACCTGCAGCTTTCCACGAGGGTGACAGGTTTGTCCCTAAAGTCTCAAGTGGGACAAGCAGAGGGGCCTGGATTGAGCCCAGGTCTCGGCGGTGGAGAGGAGCGAGTGCACAGGGGCAGACCCGGGGCAGACCGTAAAGCCTGACCTGATTTGCTCAGTGCAGTGCGGCTTTTGTTTACTTTGATTGCTTAATTAGTTCATGAATTCTGCTTTTATTGGGGCTTAATAGAGGCGCAGTCCTAGGTAGTCAGGACGGTGGGAGGGAGGGAAAGTCTAAGACGTATCTCTGACCTGAAAGGAAGTTAGGAACCAAGAAGAAGATTATGAGCTCGATATGCAGAATCCTCTCATGGGTCAGTGGTCTAGTAATGCACCCGTCCAGCCACTTATCTCTCCGTTCATCCATCCACTAACCTGCACATCAATGAGGGCCTTAGTCCACTTGCCAGCAGCACGGGAGAGGGAGGGGGAGGGACGCACCAGGCAGGTGGGGTGGGGTGGGATTGGCTATTGCTTGTGGATGGGGCGACCGTCTCTGTGGGGTTCCCTCGGCACA